AGGGCTTTAAAACATACTAATAACATAAAACATATAATTTACTATGAACATGCTCCTCAAGCTTAAATCTCAACTTTCATGCTATATTACACTTCTAATGACCCACTAAAGAGTATGAAGGGGTTGTAAGTGTGATTACCTGATTTTCTTTGTTGCTAAAGCCTTTCCCAAAGTCAACTAGGAGTCACTTTGTATTTCCCATTTGCTTTGGAACTCTCTCATACTTCTTTCACTAAACAAAGTAGAGAATGTATTTCTAATTCAACTAGATGTTCAATATAATCTAAATACACTCCCTAATATTAAAATCCACCCAAAAAAAGTTAGAATCCATAGATTCTCATAACCCTATCCAAAACCCATTTTTGGCTCCAAGGCCAAAACTTAGAGAAATGGAGCTTGAATTGAAGCTAGAAGAATGAGGATTTGAAATCTCACCTTAGTTAAGTCAAACTAGATTTGAAATGCGTGGTATCTTAGTTTTGCAAAGGAAAAGGAAGAAAAGAAGATGGAAGGAAGAAGAAGAAAGTTCGGTGAGATATGGGGGAGTTGTTCACGTAACCTGATATAGAAAAAAGGGAGTTTTCAGCTTTCAAAACCATAAGGGGAAAATTTCACTTTTGGTTCCTAAACTTCCTATTTCATAAAATATTCATCATCTTTCGTTAATTCCTTGGGGGCCAATAGCCCAAATCCAAATAAACTTGGTCCAAGTTATTTTAATTGGTCCTTTGAGCTCTAAAAACAGGCCTCGGGTTAACCCAAACTACTAACCCAGGTTTTACGGCGTTACAAACATGAACAAATGACTCGTTCGTTCATTTACGTTTGTGAATGTTTGATAATCCGTCCGTTTATGTTTGTGTATATTGGTTTATGTTCACTCTTTTATATTCAACCAAATCTCCAGTCCTATTTAAAATATTATGACATAATAAAATTTATTCTTAAACCAATTAATATTTTAAAATCCAATTAATTTTAAACTCAAATAAAAAACCTAAATCAATTAAAGAAAATATAAACCCTAAAACTATTTGAAGAGAAAACTCTTCTCAAATATAAACTCAATCAATTTTATGTTCATTCATTTATATTTGTTTACGTTTATGTTTGTTTGTTTGCTCGTTTGTGTTCGTTTATCATTTGAACGAACGAGCATGAACGAACACGAACAAACCACATTCCTTAATGAACGAACACTAACAAGAAACTTCGTTTGTTTAGTTGTTCGTGTTCGTTTTGTTTGTTTACAGGCCTAGAAAAATTAAAAGGCTAAGGATTACTTTGACCTTGATGATATTCAAGAGGTGGCAAGATGAAGAACTAAAGTTTGAATTTTACCATTTCTAAGTTGGTGAATAATCTATTAACTTATCATATCTTACATTTTGGTCCAATAAGATCATTTCTTCATTTTTCTCTAATTCTCTTTAGTTCAGCAAACCTATTGGAGGTGGAAAGATGTTAAGGTTAATGGCAACATTGAAGGATTTTGCTTAAATTAATCATTTGAGATGATGGATTCGTATTGATTAAGTGTTCTTCTACCTTCTTAGAATAAGAAGGATCAATGAAAGTAATCACTCTTAAAGGAAAAGTTAATGTTCTCGAGAGTGGTTAAATCGAACAAAATGAAGCAGCTTCGATTAAGATAAGTATAGTCACTTTTGTATGTCGTTATGTTTGACTTGTTATCGCCATGTAGGTTATGTGCATATATTTCGTTGGTTCAATTAGAGCAACAAAGGATAGCAACTTCTATACTGGTAAGATTGGTAAGTTATATGTTTCCATTGATATTGAAATATGTTATGTTCATCTATATTTTTGTGTTGATGTTCGTGATATTTTCCGGATCAAGACCGAGCCTATGTGTCTACTTATGTGTATTGGGGGCTATGAGCTCATGAATAGTATTGGTAAATTATGTTGTTTCAGTATGTTATGGTTACCTTGTTGATTTTTTTAGTATAATTGGTATGTCATAGAATCCACAATTGTTTCATTATGTTCATGCTAAAGTTTCTATGTTATTAAAGAAATTTTCATCCAAATCATTGTTATGTTGATGACTACGCTATTATGCTATATAAACTATTTCGAGTGTTCAATGATTTCAGGACAGCACACCTGTTAAGAGGTGTTTAGTTTGCGAAAAAGATTATTACCAAGGGGAATAATCTTTTCCGGAATTGTATTATCATGTTTAGTTTACGAAAAAGATCATTATCAGGTAATAACTTATTACCAATAGTAATATTTTTGGGTTAAAATGGTGGGAATGTCATTACCTCCAAATTCTTAGGTAATGAATAATTCCCACCATTTTGGACACAAATACCCCTGAAATAATAAATTTTTCATGTAGATCTTTCTCAATTCTTATCTTCGTACCTTACTCAAAATTATAAATTTAATAATAATAATAATAATAATAATATACGAGTTTAATTTAATATAATATTAATACATTTTAGTAGTTAAATTTATTTTATATTTTTAATATTTAGTATATTAATTATTTTATAATTTTATGAGATGAAAATATTATTATTATAAAAATGTAATTATCTAAAATAATATTTAATTTTAAGTTATTAAAAAGTAGATCTTATATATTAAGAAAGTAATATATTTGTTCACTCAAGATCACAATATTATTTTCATGTTACATTATATTTTATATAAATAAATATGATACTTATGAAAATTATTTAAAATTATAAGTTTGATATACTAATTATATTAATTATATGTTAAATGCATTTTTTTCTTTAAACTTAGATAGTGTAATAATTAAAATATTTTTTTATAAATTTCATTTAAATATTTATAATTTAATATTAAAGTTTTACTTGTTAAATATATATATATATATATATCGCAAGGATAATTTGGTAAAATATGCATCTAAGTAATCTTATATTCCTCCAACCAAACACTTTAATCTTACATTCTTGCTAAGCAAACCAAAAAAAGATAATACAACATTCTTAGAGTAATGTTATATTTCGGTAATCTTATTCTCAAATGTAATCTTACATTTCGTGAACCAAACACACCCGAGATTGCATCTATATGTTACAAGTCGTCACATTTTATTAGTGTAAAGATCTTTCTTATAATTCTTAATATTGTGGCTATGTAAATCTATTGGTATTTTGATATTGCATGTATGTTTGATACTATATGGTATATTACTTGATGTTATAATGACGACAATATGCTTAAATTCGTATGCTATAGAAAGTACAAGTTTAAGATATGCAAAAATAGCAAGTTATGTTATTTGAATTCTAATATACTTATGATGTATTCATTTGATGCAGAGTGGGTGAAATTGATGTCCATGATATTTATGTTGCACATAGTTTAGGCTAAGTTTAATGTAAAGTTGAATCATGCTTGAATTGTTATTTTGACCATTTGTTGTATAGGATATTGATACCAAAACATGGGTATCGATATTGTAAGCTTAAGGTGGAATTTCAAATATATTGTTGATATCGATACTAATATAAGAGTATATGTATTACACTAATGGTATTGATACCAAATGTCTGAGTATCGATACTCATTAGAGAGGTTCAAATTCTAAAACTTAAATTAGTATTGATACCATATCAATGTTATTCATCTTGTATTGGTACTGTTCTAAGACAATATCGATATTGAATGCAGAATACCAATATCAACAATGATCAAACATTAAAATTATGCAATTTAGCTTGTATGATTAATGATGATTATAAAATGTTCAAAAGTATGTTGATTTAGTCTGTAATTACCATTTAGTCCCTAGAAATCATAAAAAAGTTTAATTAATTATTCAATAATTAAAATTAGGTTAAAAGTTATCGTTTATGATCAGTTGTGTAATATCGTCAACTCGATTTTTTATCAGACCAGGTTTAGAGTATTACAATTTAACTGTGCTCAAATGATCATTCTGGTTATTTAATTTTCAAAAGTTACAAAATGTTCATTACATTTATCGAACTGATACATAGTTAAGAGGATAAAACATATCGAAGATAATTGAACTATACTCAAATGATCATTTTGATTACTTAATTTTCAAAAGTTATAAAATAATAATTAAATTTTATTAAACTATTATAAAAAATTATTAAAGTAATAAAAAATTATTTATAATTATTATATCATCACAGTGATTATGTTGTAACAATTTAATAAATTTAATAACTATTTTATATCTTATAAAAATTTAATAATTAAAACGATCATTTAAACAGAATTCAATAAAATTCAATATCTCTAATTTACTCTATCCTTATTAATATCATCTATATGATACTACTAAAATTCTTTTGAAAAAACAAATACATTATGATAATAGTCATTTTTCTTTGAACGCAAACGATAGCTCGTTTCTCTGGCGCAAGTTAGTGGGACTAACGGATTTGAGAACTGGGGTGTCTCCGGTGATTTTTCTTGAATATTTATGTTTCTTCCTCGTCTTTGTGTCGATATTCTCCAATCTTATGGACTAGAGGAAACTATTTGGTTCTCAACCTGGACAAGAGTTGCAATACTTTCCCCCAAAATCCTGTGACTCGAATCCTATTGTTCATCCTCCACAAGCAATTTTCGATGCTCGAATTGCTCAATGGAGTTCATCCTTGGTGGGCCAATTCCTGGGGGCTGCTCCCAATTTTGCAACTATGCAAAGAATGGTAGAAAGCTTGTGGAATAACTAGTCAAAAGGTGTTCGTGTGCAGGTAAGCTTTGCAAGCATCAATCTTTACATTTTTTCATTCAATAATGATTTCGCGAGAGATTGAGTGTTGCATAATGGTCCTTGGTATATACTGAATAAACCTTTAATCTTAAGGAAATAGGAGCCTAACTCCAAACGGCTTCAATTTGATCTTTCTAAAATCCCTCTGTGGGTTCATCTCTTTAATGTTCCTCTCGAATTATTTTCGAGAGAGGGCCTTAGCTACATAGCAAGTGCCATAGGGGACCCATTAACTATGGACTCGGTTACTGCATCGAAATCTAGGTTAGAATTTGCCAAAATTTGTGTCGAGATTGGAGTAAAGGATGTAATCCCTAAAACTATAAAAGTAATTCTTGCTAATGGGCAGTCTACTACAGTCTTTGTTGAAGTTCCTTGGCTTCCTCATAGCTGTCTAAAATGTAACAAGTTTTGTCATTCTGATAAAGCTTGTTTAACTTCAAAAGACCCAGCTCCTGCTAATTTACAAATCTGGAGGAAAAAGGAAACTACTGTTGTGCAAAACAATCCTTCAAGTTTATCTAGTTCCCAAGTTCCTCATTCTACTGGTTCCATTGAAACAAATCCGATTCCACCAAAAGATAAATAACCAATTAAAGAAACAATAAGCACTTCAATGACCAATTATTATATTGCTGTCAATATAGATCAGGCTGAATCTGTTCCAATCTCTAATGAGATCATTAAAACTTCATCAATGACCCCATATGATTCTACTGCCAAAGTTGACATACTTTGCTCTCCTCCAGTTCCAAATGAAGTTTGCAATTCTCCTTTACTTTCTGTGCCTCAAAATGTCACTACTGTCCTTGACCATATTGCCTCAAATAATTCCAATCTTTTTCCTATCTCTAATGAGGACGGTAACACCTCAAAATCTTTTATTCCACACATTAATTCTACTGAAGAACAGACTATCTCCCCTAGTGAAAATAGTTCCAAAATTTTAATTATTCCTAAAAGATAAAGGGGTCGACCTATGAAATCCAAAAACAATACCATTTTAAAAGGATCCTCTAACAGATTTGGCGTCTTGAATTCTGTAGGTGAATCCTCTCCTTCCTTAGAGAATATCACTAAAAAGCCTAGATCTGCTTCTTTGGGAGTGGCACTGCTAATTAAAGATCTCAAATCGAAAAGGAATGAATACCTTGACAAGTCTAAATGTGTCACTGATAAAGTATTTGGGGGTGAATTAACCTCTTCTTCTCAATGATTTTTTTGCTTCTGGAATGTCAGAGGGTTGAATAATCCTCAAAAATAGAATAAAGTTCTTCATAGGGTCACTCTTTATAATATTGATGTTCTTTGTTTATTAGAGACCAGAGTTAAATCTAAAAAATTTGAAGATATTTTTAACTCCAAATTCAACTCTTGGAATTGCTTCACAAACTATGACTATATATCTAATGGTAGGATTTGGTTCCTCTGGAAAAAGGGCTTGGACTTTACCCTCTATCAAACTACTGCCCAAAGTATCACTGCTAAAGTTCTTAGAAATGGAATTCCTTTTTTTATCTCTGTCATCTATGGCAGCAACGATGGTACTCAAAGGAAGCATCTTTGGAATCACTTAAAAGACCTTGACTCTAGTATTGGCTCTTTCCCTTGGATCTTAAGGGGTGACTTTAATATCTTTCTCCACTCATTTGAAAGCTCTGACCATGACATATTGGGTTCTTATACTTCCAATGAAATGAAGGATTTCCAAGACACTATACATGACCTTCTCCTTCAGGATCACCCTTTATTTGGTCCAACTTTCACTTGGAGCAATAAACAAAAAGATTCATATCTTGTTAGGAAACTAGATAGAGTTCTTGTAAATTCTCATTGGGTCAGCTCCTTTCAAAATTCCTTTGTGGAATTTCTTGCTCCAGGGCCCTCAGACCACTGTATGACTATTGGTTGGCTCAACAAAGACTCACATGCTAATAGGCCCAAACCTTTCAAATTTTTTAACTTCTGGACCAAGAACCCTAACTTCCTTACTGAAGTTCAAAATTCTTGGCAGCATCCAATGAAAGGAAATCCAATGTTGTCTCTCTTTCTTAAACTTAAGAGTCTTAAGACTTGCTTGAGGAACTTAAACAAGGACTGTTATAGCAACATCTCTAATAGGGTCAAGCAAAAGAAAACAGAACTTGAACAAATTCAGCTCTCTACCCTTAACAGAACATCTTCTATTGATTCTGAGCTTATTATTCAGAGCGAGCTATCTTCTCTTGAGCATGCTGAAAATATGTTGTTAAAACAGAAGGCTAAAATCCAATGGCTCAAGGAGGGTGACAAATGTTCTAAGTATTTTCACTCTGTAATTGCTTTCAAGAATAAGAGAGAAACAATTAGATTCCTTCTGAATGATCAGGGAAGTAGACTAGAGGACTTCGACGATATGATATCTGAAGTTATCCAATTTTTTAAAAATCAGCTGGGGAAAGCTGATTCGAATGTTAAAAGTAGTGATCATAATGTTCTGAAAAATATGCTTCATCTCAACCTGTCTCCTGAGGCTCTAGCATATTTGGAAAAAAACATCACTGAAGAGGAGATTAAGGATGCAATTTTCAGCCAAGGTTATGATAAGGCACCTGGTCCGGATGGTTACATTATTTTCTTCTTTAAAACTACTTGATCTGTGGTTGGGGAAGATGTGATTAGAGCTGTAAAATATTTCTTTCAGACCTCTTCTATATTACCAACTTTTAATTCCACTATAATTGCTCTGGTTCCTAAGATCACTAATCCTAGTAAGGTCAAAGACTATAGACCCATATCTTGTTGCTCTGTGGTCTATAAGGTAATAACTAAGATTATTGTCCATATGCTGAAGAACATTCTTCCTGACTTAATTACTCTTAATCAAACAACCTTTGTTAAGGGGAGAAATATTATTGACAATACTCTCCTATCACAGGATCTTGTTAAAGGCTATGGTAGAAATTCCATTTCTCCAAGGTGTGCTATCAAGATTGATCTTCAAAAGGCTTTTGATTCTCTAGACTGGGGTTTCCTCTCTTCCATTCTCAAAGTTATTGATCTGCCCCCTCAATTCATTACTTGGATTGAAGCTTGTTATTCTGGAGCAAGATATTCAATCTCTTTCAATGGTTCTTTGATTGGATATTTCAAAGGTGAAAGAGGTCTTAGATAGGGTGATCCACTTTCACCCATTCTTTTCGTTCTAGCTATGAACATTCTTTCTAAGCTCCTTAACCTTGCTGTTGCCAGAGGTTTATTTGGTTATCATCCAAAATGCAAAAAAATTGGGCTCACTCATCTTACTTTTGCTGATGACCTAATTTTTTGCAAAGGAAATATGGAGTCTATTGCTGGAGTTATTTCTGTTCTTCATAAATTCTACGAAATATCTGGGCTTCAGCTAAAAGCAACTAAATCAGAAATTTTTACAACATGAATTTCTCAAAGGAACATTGAAATCATCACGATATCTACTGGTTCAAGATTGGTCTTCTGCCAGTGAGATATCTGGGGGTTCCACTTGTTTCCCGGAAACTCTCAGTTAAGGACTGCTCTCCTCTCATTGATAAGATCAGATCCATAATTCACCAATGGTCTGGGAGACACTTAAGCTATGCTGAAAGGCTAGAACTCATAAAAACTGTCTTACAAAACATTGCACATTTTTGGTGCCATCAATTTCTGCTCCCTCATTCTGTTATCAATAGAATTAATTAACTTTGCTCAAGATACTTATGGAGAGGCTCAAATACTTCTGCCTATGGAGCAAGGGTAAGTTGGGCAAATTTGTGTAAACCTATATCTGAAGGAGGGCTAGGTTTAAAAGACTTAAAATCTTGGAATAAGGTTTGCATGATAATGCTTATTCGAAACCTTCTTGCTGGTCACGGTTCCTTATGGATTGCATGGACTCATTCTTATGTAATTAAATCCAATATCAAATGACCTCTAGTGCAACCTCTAGTTACATCTTCAAAAAACTTTTGAAACTGAAAACTGAGGTCATCCCCATTCTTGACGTTGGAATAATGAATGCAAAAGGGATTTGGGAAGAAGTTCGAATCAAGCATGATAAGGTCCCATGGCAAAAGCTTATTTGGTTCCCTCTTCACATCCCTAAATTCAGTGTCATTGCTTGGTTAGCTATCCTTGATCGACTCCCAACTAGGGAAAGACTCTTACGAATAGGACTCACCATCAATGGTCAATGTATTCTATGCAATGCTGCTTTTGAAACGAGAAACCACTTATTTGCTGATAGCATTATGGCAACTTCTCTTTGGAATGGTATTTTGCATCTTTCTCTACTGTCTTTGCCTCATATGTCTTGGGAAAATAAGCTTACTTGGGCTTATTCAACTTGGAAAGGTAAATCTCTCTTAACCTCAATTATGAAGATTGCAAGGAATGCTTTCATTTACAAAATTTGGGAGGAGAGAAATAGACGCATGTTTCAAGGGAAATCAAGAACTGCTGAAGACTTGCTTGATTCTATTAAAGAAAGTGTTGGTGCTCAACATAGAAATAGAGACTTTAATAGGCTTGACAATGTTAATAGGCTTCTTTGTAACAATTGGAACATAGGCTGATTTTGTTGTACATTAATTTTTGTTGTACATTAATCTTTGATCTCCTTTGAGATTTGTATGAACTTTCATTTGGATAATAAAAAGCTTACTTATCCAAAAAAAAAATCTTTTGAAAACTCCATGAGGTTATATAAGGTCAAGATGTAGGGACTAAAAAATTAAAATTAATGAAACTCATGCCACGAATGATGTAAGCATTAACATCCTACAAGATGGAATGCGAATTTCTTTAATAATAATAATTAAGAAAAATAAATTATGAAATAGCTACCAACCGAATCTCATATCTGACAAACTCTATATCTATGATAATAACAATATAGCATTAAAAAACCCAGAATCAAGAACAATTTTTAAAAGTTTCCTTATCCTGTAATTTAATTATACAACTTATATAATACAATATTTTTTTATGCTTCAATTTGCTTCAAATTGAAAATCTTATACACATACAACTCAAACCAATAATAGTAGAACTCTAGATTTTTCATACAATAATGAGTTTTTCTTTCAGTAATGCCAGAAGCAATCGAAATCCACCGGTGCAGCTGAGACAGCAGAAGGGTGTTGTTGATGTTGTCGGTGATCATCGAATGGCGTCGTATCGAATTTTCCGATCTCCAGATTCGATACGACGGACGAGATTTCGTTGTTGATATCGGTGATTAAACCGGTCTCTTGCGAGACAGTAACCATTGTTTCCCTCTCCGTTTTCATGTTGGAACCGCGGTTTTCGAGTAAATCCCTGAGGATCGAATGCTCCTGCATTAAGACCGAGCCGCCCGGGAATTGAAGATTCGACGAGAAAGAAACGGTCTGAGGCGGGAAGAAAGTGTTCGGAGCCGGGATCCTCGTGTTCGAAGAAACCGGGAGGAGCAGCGGATTGTTGGGAAAATTATCGATCGGATTGGAGAAGCAGGGCACGTAAACGGATGCGGAAACAGGATTTTTCTTGGCATTGAAAACCGAAGAAGAATCCATTAATGGTGGAAGACCAGAACCAGAAGGGCTCAAAATTTCATTTCCGAATGAGCTCATGACGACCAGGCCTGAAATATGTGTTTTTTCCCCGGCAGAACTCTTTTGAAACACCCTGCAAATAACCCATTCATTCTGTCCAAAAAAAATCCATAAAAAAACGCTATCTTTAAAACAGGGGGAAATTCATGTTTTTGTTTTACCTTTGCAGTTTTAGGCAGATTGTGGACTGAATATTTGCCTTCAAGTCTATACTCATGCATCACCCAATTCATTTTTTCGCCTTTGGGTGCTCTTCCCTTGTAAAAAACCAGTGTTTTCTTCATTCCAACCAATGATTTCCCTCTGTAAATCTCTTTGTCTTTGCCTGTTGCCTTCCAATACCCAGAATCAGTGGCCCTGTTTGTCCTCAAACCAGTTGGGTATTTCCTATCCCTCACGCAGAAAAAATACCACTCTTTCTCACCCATTTTCGCTTTCCCTGCAACCAAACAGACCATAAGGAAATCTTTCTCGACCAAATCCATGAAAACATAACATCACATAAACATGCTTACAAGGCAATTCCCATGGCTCAGACTTGTTCAAATCCACCTCTCCAATAGCTTTAGCACTGAAGTTGATGTCCAGAACTTTCTTGTGCAAATAGTGAGAAATAAGCTCTTCATCTGTTGGATGAAACCTGAAACCCGGTGGCAAATCCATCTGATCATCTCCTTGAATGTTTTCCATTTCCTCGAGCCTAAAACTTGTGTTTAGAAATCTGCAAAACACCCACGGAATTTTCAGCTGAAAAATCCAAACTTGTCTCTATATGTGTGTCTGAACTGACTAGGCAGCTGAAGTTCTTATTGTCCAAAGCAAAAACCACAAACTGAAATGGAAAGTGATGAAGGAAAGAGATATGGAGAAAGGTGATACAAAGCTAAGAGAAGATAGGGGAAAAGAAAATAAAGTTAAGGATTGAGAGGAAAAGGGAGAAGCAATGGAAGTAAAAGAAAAGAGTAACAGGAGAGACAAAGGCCCCTAATTACTGGTGTATGGAGAGAAAGAAACGTGGGTTTTAAGGCAACTTGGTTGTTTTCAGACAATCCTGGTACTATTATACCCAATAATATGAAGAAAAAAAATATTGAAGCATGAAATTATGATAAAAATACCACAAGAAAGTAAAACAACTTATCGAACCATCTTATTAGTAAAAAGAAGAGTTTTTTTTTTAATAAAAATTTTAAGTTCAAGTAACTGTGTATATGAGGTATGTGTGTTGTCAACGACTAAAAAATATTTTGAACAAATATTATACTATAATCACTCCAAATTATTAAAAGGAATTTTAAAAATTATTAGAATACTAAAATATATTTAAATGATTAATGACAAAAAATAGAATTAAGTGGTTTCGCCATTTAATCCAATTTAGGCTTGAGTATTCACTTGATTCGAATAAAAAAGAAACTTAAATAAATTGAGTTTACGAGTATCATGTTAGTAATTAAATTTTTTTTTGAGTTAAGTCGAGTTAAATCGAATATATTGACATATTTCTATTAAAATTTAATTATAATTATTTATATTATTATGATACTAATTGGTTTTAATTTAACAACTCTCGGTAACGAACCTATCAAATGACCTCAGTGATAAAAGAAAATGCCGTTCTTCTTAGAGGTCCTGAGTTTGAGTAGCTGCATTTGTAGTGTGTGTACTCGCATTGTTAATGAGTTAAGAAAGTTTTAAATAGATACTATCATGTAATCATCCCTGACTATTAAAATAAAAACAACTCTCACTAACCATTTATGAAATACATATATATTTTTTCATATTCATTTTCGTATATGTAAGTAATATTTGTAATGTTATTTAATAAATCGACTATCATATAGAATTATAATATATTCATTTTCTTTTTTAAAAAAAAAAGAGATTTTGAGGACAAAGTATTGACATGAGTAAAAAAAGGTCAAGAAATTGATAGGAAGAATAAATTTCGAAATAGTTAAAATCAAAGGACTAAATTCAATAAAATATAAAGTTGAGGAATCAAACTGTAAAAAAAGGAAATTTGTTGTCAAAAAGAGGAATTGGAGTTACATAGGTACTCTACGTTGATATACGAACATGTAATTTAAATTTGGTATAAAAAAAACTTAAAATGAATGAAGAATTGAAGAAAATCATGCAACGTTAATGAACTAAATTGAAAAGTGAGGAAAATTTTTATCAAAAATTGAAATTGTAGAGGATTCAAATTTGATAAAAAAAAAGGGCTTAAAACAAATGAGGAATTGAAAAAATATCAAATTAGGGACCAAATCATAAAATGATCAAACTACTTAGTTAAATACCAAAATAATGTTATTTTAATTTCAGTTTTTTATTATTCAAAATTTAAAAATCTAAACTCGACCTGAACTCAAAATTTGATCCAAAGATTTGAATTGGTTCGAATAAATCAAATAATTTAAAATTAGAAAGGATGTTTTAATGATTCAATATTTTTATTTCAGTTTTAATGATTAAAATTAAGTAACTAAAATCGATTTCAACTTTCATTTTGGTGCTTTTTTTCAATTAAGTACTTGAATTTTGCTACACAAGTTATCCTAAAATCTTATTCTATTAATTTTTCTTTAAATGTTAAATCCTCAAATTAATAGCTAAACTTGTATTAATGATCTAAATTGATGCATGAGCTTGACTTTTAAATTTAAATTGACACGTGAACTTAGCTCGAATTGATTGAAAATTCATAACTATCAATTTAAAATTTTGAACAAAGAAATCAAATTCATGTATCAATTTGAACTGAAAATCAAATTTAAGAATTAATTTAAACCTTAACACTTCACTATTTTAACGAGTAAAGTTGTATATCAATATTTAAACTTCTGTGTTTAATTGGAAAAAAAAATCAAATATCAAATTAAACTCAAATACAAAAAATGTATATTTAATCTTTCATCACTAAAGCAGTTTTCAAACAACAAAAATCATTTATAAAAAACCATTTTTCATAAAATGAATAAAGGGTAAACTACACAAATGATCACTAATGTTTGAGTAAGCTTTCGTTTTCATCACTGATATTTCAAAAGTCACAAATCGGTCACTAACATTATATTTTGTTACAAATTGGTCACTCGTCGTTAACGACCATTTATTGGAGTAACAGAATGCTGATGTGGCACGTTAATATGATTTTTTTTACTTTCATTTGACCAAATTAGAACATTTTGACCGACTCTTTTTCTTATTCAATCCAACCCCTTCAGAATCGTCAATAACTTGAATCAATAATCGATCATTCGACTAATCAAGTTGGCAGACAACAGAGATAGATTGTTCATATACTTGTATGAAGTCATAACAATATGCAACTTAATAGTTGTCAATCTTCACGGCTAAAACATCTAAACCAATGTAAATTATGAATATCTTTAGTACCTCTCTCTCGTTACACATTGGGATTTGAACAAGAACCATTGGATAGTTCCAACGATATAAAAACTACCTAAGAAAAGCATCATACTATATGCAGATTGGATAGGGAACAAAACAACTCATAATTTATACAAAGCTTGTAATACCCCAAAATTTTGGCTAGTGACCAAAATGTAAATTTTGAAAATTTAGTGGCAAAGTATAAATTTTGGAAAAGTTCATAGACGAAAGTATAATTTTGAAAATTTATGTATTTTGACATCGTAAATGAATGTTCACCCCCAAGAATGGTATTTTCGCGTCTTTTAGATTTTTGATGCAAAATTTGTATCAAATGCTATAAAGCGATAAAGTTCGAGAAAAATTCGGATAATCGAATCGAAACGGATTTTTCAGAAATTATGAAGGATGATAAGGCAAGTTTAATAATATCATTTCCATATTTTAAAATGGTAGAATTTGACATGGACGATTGGATTTAAGTTGATTTTCCATGTTAAACAGGGACCGTTGTATGAAAATGGCAAGATTGTAATTTTTGGAAAAGTACAAGGGTAAAGTTAGAAAATATGAATATATTTGTTCATATTTTACTTATAATGATGTAGGTATGATGATATGAACATGTGGAATAGTAATTATCATGAAATTTTAAGGGTATATTTGTCCTTTCCCATTAAATGAATTTCTAATTCATTTTAGTCCTTAAAATGACAAATATCCTTAGATTTTTAATTAGAAATTTCATGAATTTGGTTCATCTTCAAGATCTTGGTCGTGAACTATATAACCAAGGTAGAAAAATTTTATTTTTCATTTTCAAGCCAAATTACTTGGATTTTGGAAGAAAGCATGAAATAGGAAATTAATCTATATGAAATTCTCTACATTTGGTACCAATTATTCATGCTTTCATTGCTTGGAATCTTAGTTTCATAAATTGGGTGGATGAAAAAGATGTTAGATTTTCATGTTTTATGGATATATTTTGATTATGTTGATGTTGTAGAATCATTTCCATGCTTGTATAATAACTGGAAACCATTAGAAATGGTTAGAGAAACATTCAACCAAAGCTAAGGTTTTTATATAAAATTTAGTTTGGATTAATTTTGATATGGTAATGATTGTAGAACCTTGGAAATGATGTTTAGAGGTTGAATCCATGCTTGAATCAAATTGGAAATCATGCTAGGATTACCTATGTATATTCGACCTATATGAGAAAAATTGGGAAAATGTCATGTGAACTATTTCTTAATATGAATAGTCAGGGACTCAAAATATTATTTTGAATTATTAAGGTCAAAGTTGATTTTGTGAAGAATAACTAGTATCAAATAAGTATCGAAAGAATTTTTACAAATTTATTTGTTAGTATATGTCTATGTTAGTATGATACTAACATATGCTTTGAATTGTATATGTTTGGTAATGGCATTTACATATATTGTGATCAAGATCGAGATACAAGTAAACTTAAAGCCAAGAAAAAAGCATAAAAGTGAGGTTATATCAAAAGTAAGGTTCGCTAGTGAGGCATCAAGTGAGTGAATTCTTACCTATATTATAACACCCCCAACCCGTACCCGACCCGAATACGAGTCTGAGGTGTCACATTGACTTTTCAAACTTTTACTCTTGACAAAATTCAAAGAAAATTTAAAACTTTCATTAAAATAAAAGCGGTTTATTTACATAAAATTGACCAAAATAATCAAAATCGATCATAGCATATTCAACTTAATCATTTAGAACATGACAACTATATTCAAATTAACCAAACACATTTAAATCATCTATTTTATGATATGAAATTTTGTAAGGGAGATGCTGACCTGTCTTGCTCTTCTTCGCTTCTCTTCTCGCTTCTGTAACCTACGTGTGAAACAATCACACGCTAAGTCTATGACTTAGTGAGGCATTAAATTTATAAAGGAAACTCTAAATGCTTATACATGTATGAACATATCACTTCATGATGTCACACAATCATTATATATAATATAATGTACACATATACACATCACACATTATTTCCATCATTAATCTTATTCTATTATCCACATTATTATCATTTATATCCTTTAATCATACTTTTCATCAACATATGACTCATTCAAACCATACACACATCATCATATCAATCATATAATACAGTTCATATCACAAAAACATATACTTCACAAGTACTATCTTTATTGTTATCTCTTTGTTTAGCCCATGTACACTTTTTAGAACTATAGATATGTAAGTCTATTGAGGTTGTGCACTAATGATGTCACCATAGCTCGTATAAATGCACCGAAGTACCCCATAGAATTGCACCGAAGTGCCGCGTAGAATTGCACCGAAGTGCCATATAAAATGTCCCTAAGGACCACGTAGAAAATTCCTTAAGAATCATATACATATGCAAAGGATCAAGTATGTATCTCAAAAGACATCACACATGTTCCAAGGAATACATATATATCCCGAAGGACCGCTTAGACCCTCGACTTTTGGCATGCCAACTATATCCCTAGCTCTCATGACACAT